TTCTCTTCGCGACATTTTCCCCCTCGTGTTTTTTTTTTTTTTTTTTTTTTTCCTTTTTTAATTGACGATGAAAGGGAATGTGCATTAGAATTGCTTAGGATGCTTTGCCGGAATTCTATCAAAGATGATGAAGGTTTTTGACACACCTCCCTTAATAGCATAACATTATATAAGGAAATATGTTTTCTTTTAATTATTTTAATTATAAAATGATTTTACCAAGATGTTTTCGGGGGAGGGTGGGCAGCCTAATTTGAAACATAACAACTAGACAATCTTATCGTTGTGTTAAAACTATACTTCTGATGTTATACATTAGTTTAGGCCTTTATCATTAACCAATAATTCTTGAAAATTTATATTTTTTTCTCTCCTGTGGAGTCAGAATGGTTCAACCCCTCTATATGGTCAGGCATCGTGCTAGCCCATGGAGCCTCAGGGATGATCAGACATAGTCCCCACACTGAAGAAGCTCACAGACAAAGATGGGAGACAAATGCACATATGTATAGTTATAATATTGCACTAAGTTATTGAATACACTTACGTGATAATCAGTTATAATTATAACACACACAATATAATCTATGTAATGCAACGATGTATGTGTTTTGATCCAGGAGCCTCAGAAGATTGACTCTTGGTTCAACCTGAGGATCAGTCATTTTGGAGGACCAGCAAGGTGACTGGTTCCTGGCATATCTGAAGAAGAAAAGGACAAATCAGGGGGGAAAAACAAAACAAAACAAAACAAAACAAAACCAACCCAGAAATGAAGGCAGGTCACTCAGTATTTTGCAGAAGGGAGGAGTTCAGACCAACAGGCCAGCTCTCTCCCTAGGGTGCAGGTCACAGGCCTAGGGGTCAGGGAACAGGGTAAGGGTTGGAAAATGGAGAAGACTGCAATGCTGCCATTGGCAGGAAAGAAAACCACAGACCCCAGAAAATGACTTGCCAGGGGTCCTCTTCTTGACTGCCTTCCTCTTAAGGACTTCTTGTTAGCACGGAGCCTTTGTCCTCCTCCTGCTCTTTGAAATCCTCGACCAGCGCCGACTGTCCAGGTGTCCTGTGCACCTTGGCCCATGCTGACATGGTTTCCACTCTCCTGAATGGCCGTGCCACCTGTTTCTGTAGCCCAGAGAGTGGTGCAGGGGCACTTAATATGTGCTGCTTTACACAGTAAACATGGTCTTTAAAAGTTTTTTTTTTTTTGTAAGTTTACTTTTTTTGATAAATCAACCTACATATAAAAGCACTAGGGGAGCAGGCTATTTAAGGAACCCTGTAGTGAATCTTTTCATAATGTAGAAGGCATTTCTTAATTAATCTTTTTTTATTTTTACTTTTTTTGAATCAGATATACCTGAGCCTCTCTGGATTTCTTTCTAAGAGGAAGCAGCATACAGACTGTAATGCCAAGTGTGTAAGACCAAAGCCAGAGTGGATGTTGAGCTCCTGCTGGCTTCTACTGGCTTGGGAATATGACCATGACCTTGGGGTCAGTTTCATCTTCTGCCAAAGGCAGAGCCAGACTGACCTGAACTGGAACCCTGGTTTTACCATATATCAACTTAATTTGGCAACTCACCTGTCCTCTTTGACTCTCAGTTCCTTACCCATACACTGAGTTGTTATATACTCCAAACAAAAAGGTCCATCTCTCAGGGCCCGGCTCAACAGCTGCTACTAAGGGTTAGTTAGATCCACCCTAAATCTGGTCTGCTCCATTCCCCAAACTCCTCGGAGCAGAGACTGCAGCTCTAGGATTAGCACAGTGAGATCTAAAGCTGGGCTTGTTAGGTGGAAATACTTGTTAGTTAGGGACTCCTCCCTGCCATGTTTCCTCAAAGGAAAGGAAATGTCTGCTCTACTCCCCAGGAAGGAGGTAGATTAAACACAGTATTTTAGACCTTCCTTTATGCCCAATCTCTGGTAAGGAGTTGCAGATCCTGCCATCTGGGTTGGGTCCATACATTTGAATATGGCGGCATGAGCCACCTCACCCTCATACACACTTGCATGCTTCAGATAGACCAAAATCTGCTCTGTTTTTTCTCCCAGTCTCACTCAGCCCCTGTGGCTCTCACAGTTTTTTGCCTGAGCAAGGATATAGAAAAGAGATCCCACAGCACTTTCCCCACTCTGATCCTGTTTCATTAATCATTATCCTGTTGGGAAATTATATCTGAGTCAACTTGCTAGAACATCCCACTCTCCTACCCTCTAGCAGCTGGGTAGAACCTTTGATACTGCACAGACCTTTGGATCACCTGGGCCATTGGTAGGCAGGCAGCTGTGGTGGTAGCTTTGTCTAGTGTTCAAAGTCATGTGTAGTGAGGGTCACAAGCCTCCTCTGAGAAGTGCTGGGAATGAGACAGCCCCAACATCATGATAGGCTTGGAGACCTTGGCTGTATGACCTAGGAAATGACCGCGGACCCTAGTCAGAAAGAATTCAAGAGGTTGGGGCAGGTAAATCTGTCCCAATAAACTAGTGTTCGGGCCTTGGATTTCCACCCTAATTGATGATTCTTGGCAGATGAACCCTGCCAGTTGATATTTCTGGGGATGGTGTAGATACAGTAGTGAGTGCCCTTCCATGGCTTGCGGTCTGGTGTGGAGAAGGTTGATTAAGCCAGCAAGGACAATTGACTGCGTGGGAATATAAAAGACAGGGGCACACATGATAGGGACAGCGCGTCCATTTTAGAGGGACTGGGAAACATCTCTGTAAGAAAATTATTTCTAATAGTAGATGTTTGAGTCCAGAAAAGAGTGAGAGGAAAGTAACACCACCACTCATTAAGGACCTACACTGCGAGTCACAAGTAACTTGCTCAAGGACACTCTATCAGTGCTAGAGTTTGGATTTTTCCAAAGTCAGACTCAACAGACTCAATGTTCTTTTTTTTTTTTTGTTAAGAGAGATTTTTGTTGCAGGGCATGTGCACTCACCAGAGAAACAGAGAGAGGCAAGAGGCAGAGAGAGAAAATAAGAAACCACTCCTCCTCCCAGGGCCGGGGATGGCCATGCTGCAATTCCTTTTCCACTATTCTCCTCTCAGGATTTTGGGCATGCACACACATGCACCTAGTGTGAGTTTCAAGCAAACGGGTCTGCGACTTGAGCCACAATTGACCATGTGGGAGTCCAGTGCCTCAACCACTACATTATCTGCTGGGCCCCTAGACTTTATCCTTCATTAAGTTGCTCTACTGCCAATATTGAAATTATTAGTTAAGAGGCCCTAATATTGGCTATAAACATATGTGGATTTGGTGATTCTCTTGGCCACATGAAGTTAGAAACTCTATCCCCTTAAATAGTAGAGAAAACATAATTTAAGCTATTAGGTAGCAAAGGGAGCTAGGACTCCTACCTGCACTGAAGCAAAAACTACAATGCAGATGTTATCTATATCCTAAATTACGTATTTCAACCACTCTCCCATTGTTTAGAAAGTCCACATTACTGTTCTTTAATTTAGTTGAAAAATGCAAATTTGGTTGATTTCACAAGCCTTAAAGTTAAGCATTATACTCTGTAGACACCATGTGTTGACTTTTAAAAGTTTGCAAAGTAAAGTAAAAATGGTACTTACTACCACAGAGCTGGACCAATGCCTTTGCAAACTAGACACCTACTTTTAAAGTTGTAAAATTCGTAGCACATACTATTTGTATATTTATATTGTTTCCCAGAAAAGTATGGGGACTCTTGAAAGAAAAGAAACTTTTAAAAATTAAGATAAAAAAATAAAAAGAGAAAGTTCAGTTCAAATAGAATGAATATAAAATTTGTTTTGGGGTCCCCTGAAAGCCAAAGCAAAAAGGGAAACATAAAAAATTGTGTAAGTTTTCATTATCAAGAAAGGAAGAAGAATATTAGTTCCTTGGTAAGAATATAAGTGTTTGTGAAGACAGAATTCTGGGATAATTTAACAGACACTAGACCCTTGGAGGAAGAAAAAAACAACGCAAGGTGTTTGTAATGTAGTAGATGTTAGTACAATCCAAGAGCTGTAATGAAATACACACTTTCCTTTCAACCTGGGATAGAAGTATTTCCTTTTTTTCTTTTTTTTTTCTATAGAGATTTTTGCTATAGGGAGCATGCTCTTGCCAGACAGAGAGACAGAGAGACAGAAAGTGAGAAATCATCCCCCAGGGGGAATGGCCACATTGCAATCCCTCCTCCTCCATTCTCTTCTTGGGATCTTGGGCACACACACACACGCCTAGTGCAAGTTTAAGCTACCAGCTCTGGGACTTGAACCACGGCTGACTACATGGGAGTCCAGTGAAATAGCTACTATGCCAACTGCTGGTGTCCAGGATAGAAGTATTTCTATAAGAG